CTGTGCCAGAGATCCAAACAACAAGCCTGGTTTTTCATTAGCATGCTTGGATAGCACAACATACTCCTGGCTTTACCATTTAGTTCATTAGCAAACATTGCCTGTTTGGATAACATAATTTTTTTGAAAATGTGTGAATGCCTTTCATCACAAATTCACATTCTCTTTGCTGCTGACAACTGAGCCTTTGTATGGTTTTGAGTGGGTGGGGGAGGATGTAGACTGTATGCAAAGACCCTTCTAACTCCTGGATCCAGCAAGTGTTAAAATATAAGCCAGGCTAGTTTCCTGTGGCAATAGCCTGGGAGATGGGCCATTCCATTAACAAAGGAAGGAGTCTCTGTGTGAGACGGCAGATGGGTGGGATCACCTTCCCAGCTAATGGTTAGTTAGAAAGAGAGTTTGGAAGTGATGTGACCTAGAAGGAAAGCAGCAAGCTAGAGTTCGAGAGCAATGTTTGGTTTCTGTTTGATTCAAAGGCTATGGCTATGGAAGAAATAAGACCCTTTTGGTGGTGTTAATACTGTGAACCCCTCCATCATAGGCTCAGGTGTGTGTGTGTTTAAATAAACCATATATCATAAAGACACCACAGTCTCTGCTGTGCCTCAAACCTGAAACCCCTGGAAACTCAAACCACTTGGATATTGGCACACAAGATCCTAAATTGAAAGTTCATTTAGGAAACATTGGCAAAGTGGCTACTCTCTCTTTGTACCCAAAATAAATAAATTACTGTTAACATTCTGAAACAGCTGTATCTCATTGTGTGAGCATGGCTGCAAAATGTTATGTTGTCAAATTCATATGCCTCTCATTATACTAGAAAACTCAGACATCCAATGGGAAGGAAATGCAAGGCATACGAAAGGAAAGAATTTTACAAAGGAATTAATTAATTTATGAAATTCACCGCCACAAGATGTCGCAACGGACTTTAAAATATGATTAGGCTATCACTGCCTTATGGGCTTCCCATAGGCATTCGACTGGATACTAAGGGGGAAAGATCCTGGTCTAGACAGGCCTCCGGCCTGACCGAGTCGGGACTATTCAATCACAAATGTACAAGGCAGTGCAAGAAGGAACCAATCACATTAAACCGATCCAGTTTTGCTTGGAAAAAGCCATTAGCCAACTTTGAATTATGGTTTTGTGCTAAACCCTACCATTCATATATGATCCAAAGTCATAACAATACCATTTTAATGCCATTATAACTGGGAGATGTTAGAACAACCAACAGCATCTCAAAATGTGTGACAAATGGCAGAGGGAATACCTGGTCCAATGTGTCCTTTATCTCCCTTTCTATGATGAGGAAGTGAGAACTTTGCCTATATACTGCTGACTGGGAGTCTACCCAGATTAACTAAGGGCAGATTCACACTACAAGTTACTACAAGATTCATACTGCAAGTTAATTTATTCTTTAGGACAGAACGGACTGGTAACTTAACAATGGATTAAACAGTACGAGATCAGGCTTAATAACAGCCCCCAATATGTGGCTCTTCTGGAATTTGTGATGGATGTGATTCATCTGCAAAACTGCCCCTTAAGAACCACTCATCAGGGTTTAAAGGGAGCACAGCAGCAGCCCAGTGTCATAAGTCAGAACAGCTGGGCACTGCAGGGTGGGGGAACCTTCCTGTCGATAGACCCTGCCCTGGTACCAGAATTTTTTTGCTGCTGAAGGCACTCAACAGACACACCTAAAGAGACCTGGATGCCTTGAAGAAGGAACTCCACCCACCCAGTAAAGTAGTTCCATCTGGCTGCTTGTAACCACTTCTGCATTCGATGGGGAGGGGGCACTTCTGCTGAGGTTCACACCTCCAGTTGTCCCTTGGGGGAAGCTGCAAGCACCAGCCCTATTCCAGCCTCTTACCTCTTTTTTTTTTATGAGTGTGGCTGTGCTCTGAGGGTTCTGGGGTTTTGTCAAACTAGCTTTTGCCTCCCCATCGTTGACAAGAGGAGAGTGCAGGATGAGAGTCACTTCCTTTTTCTTTCATCTCTTATCTGCAAAGGCAAGGTATGACTTATGGTGCTAGGGCAGTGTCTTCCTCCGGAGACTCTCTCTTTTCGTCTTTTTATTTCAGATTAGACTGGGGAGTTGATCTTTTGGGGAGCGTAGGTGGTAGTCATGGATTCTTTGGAAGTAGGATAACATCAGCTTGTCCATTGTCTGTTGGCCTAGGCATAACTTTTCTTAGAATCAAAGTTGGAAGGGACCACGAGAATCACGTAGTCCAACCTCCTGCAATGCGGGAATCTTTTCACCACCCAACGTAGAGCTTGAACCCACAAGCCTGAGATTGTGTCTCAGGCTCTGACTGAGCTATTTTGCCTGCACTTGTAAATATATTGTACTGATTGCTTAGATTACTAGAGTTGTATTTTTTCCCTGCTTAGATCTTGACATTGGCATTATGTTAATTGCTATTTTAAGGCCATGAGGGTTTTGCTGGTTGTTCTTTTGCTTAGCTGCTTTAGGCCTTCTTTAGAAGAAAAAAGCAGTGTGCAAATTCTGAATATTATGTGATCTCCATCTCACAGTATGGTATACAAACCTCAAATGCTCCTCTACCCTAATGAAAAATGATTACAGAGTTCCAGCTTCAAGCATTGTGTTTGCAAAATACACCTTAATGGAAAAAGGAGGTCACCAAGATTTCCAACATAAAAAACTCATGCTATTTGAATTAAGCAATTTTCTTGCTAAGTATTCACTGTTTGACATAATAACTTAGCACTAAGGAAGCGGCTTCCACTAAGGTCTGCTAAATAAAACTGTAGCTCCTTCAAATCAAACACAGACACTGAAATATTTCACTGCCAAGGCAACACCAGGATAAAGCATCCCATCTGGAGCAGAAATTTTAGGACCCTGCCCCCTTGTCTTTCTAAATAGTTCACAAGTGCCCCCTTGGAAACATTCTTCAGGAACAATGCTAAAACTTTCAGTCTAGCAGCTTTGCCAATGACTCCGCAGAGTTGGGGGGACAAATTTCTGGTGAACTCATGATTCAAAGTACCAATGAAAAGAACAGCTGGACACTCGGAGTCATCAGTTCTCTGGAAATGTGCAGTTTCAGCCCAAGCTGTTCCCATCCTATCACAAGAACTTAAGAGTCCTGCTAGTTCAGACCAAAGTTCTATTTAATCCTTCATCCTGCCTTCACAGTCCCTCCTTCTTCTTTTTGAATGTAAAACATTTAATTTAAAAACGTTGACACTACAATATATAAAATAGCTATTATAAATGCACATAGCGTATTCTATAGCTTCCAGGTTTACGTTTTTAGGAAACTGTAAGTTACACTGTGGTTAAGACTTGTAGTTTTACCCTTCTGAAAGTCCACATTATATCACAGTCTGGTCTGTATGGTCAGACTTAACAGCCCCAATTGTTAAACACTTGCATCAAGTTATAATCAGTTTTATTGCAAAAATACCCTGTACACATTTACATAAATTCTAGTACCCTACAATTTTAGCTACCCAACAAGTTATTAACATACAGAAACATGCATGAAAAGCAAGAAAGATCACCCATCCCTTCTGCATATTAGCAACTTGTCACTGTTGAGCAACAAAGCTCACATCACTGAGTTTTTATGTGAACAGTCCCTTCAATGGGAAGCTTGCAAGCAGGCCATGAGTGCAACATTACTCTCCCCAGCTGTGTCCTGCAGCAACTGGTGTCCATTTTCAACCATGAATAAGCTTATCCCGCATCCCTTTTAAAGCCCTTCAAGGCATTGCACACACTCCCATATACTCCGCAACCAGTGTACTCCCACAGCTGGTTTCAGAAGCAGCGTACACACAGCATTAGCCACAATCCATATCTCCCTGGGCATCTATCCTCTTGTTTCTTATGAAGTATTGTGTTTTGATGAGTTTTCCCCTAGGCCAGTTGGGATGGCTCACTCAGTAGAGAGTGAGACTCTTAATCTCAGAGTCAAGGGTTCAAGCCCCATGGTGGGCAGAAGATTCCTGCATTGCAAAGGGTTGGATTAGATCTCTGACATTCCAGGATTCTTACCCAAATGGAGAAAAATGAACAACCTAGCTGCATTATAAGCCATTAATGTGATTACAGTTGGTGACCATCACTACAAGCCTGCATTATGCCAGAGCATCAACCATGTTGGCCACACTCCCAGCAGGCAGAGCAAACAAGTTGCCCTGGAGCCCAGCTGAACTTTCCAGCTCCACTCTCTGGAGCTTGAGGGTCTTCCTGCTACCTTACACCAAGCAAATCAAGTGGAGGTGTGCATGGACAGGACCCAGTGGGCTCACTGACATGGTAAACTTCTGTGTGACAGCCAGCCTTTTCTTCAGTTTACAAGTAAATTCCATAGTACTGTACATAGAGCAAGCGGAGTTGCCAACTTTTTTTCTGGCGAGTCAGACAGAAGTTTTACAGGCGAAGCTTTCCCCAGAAAGGAGCTGAACACACACACAACTGCCTACTATACATTTCTGCCACCTCAAAAGGCACGAAGGTTGGGGGGGGCAACATTAACAGAGGATTTCCATAGGGGGAACCATTTCAGTCTGCTCTGCAGCAAAAGCTGTCTTGTGATGCCTAAGGACTTGATACATTTATTAAGGAGTCAGTAGCTGCTTTTGCAGAATAGAGTCCACTCCATCTGCAAAGTCCCACAGAAGGCTCTGTTCCAGACACCGCGCGTGGATTTTGGAGAAAGCCCCTCTCATGGGTTTGGCCAGGATTGCGGGGGCGGGGGGGGGCAGAACCTCAGTTAAGCATTTTGTACTGATTTAATTGATTTAGGGGGGGCAGCCGCCCCGTCCCTGCCCACGCCCATGGGCCCCACTCCCGGTACAAATGCTTACCCCACATGTTACTTAAGCCACGCCCCCTTGAGCGATTCCCACGGCGGCGTTCCAAAGCGCCGCGCCTCTGCCCATGTGCAGAGTGCGCTTCCCTGTCCCCCTAGAGTCGCCCAAGGAGCCCTGCCCTGTCTTACCTTGGCGGACGCCTTCTTGACGTACGCCAGACTCCGCAGAGAGCTGGGCGAGCTCTGCAGGTAGTTGAAGAAGTCGAGGGCCGTCTGCGCGGGCCGGCGGGCCAGCGCGGTGTAAGGGTTCAGCGACAGCCGAAAGCGCTGCTGCTCCTTCCAGATTGCCTTCGGCGGCGCCGGGTCGCCTCCCGCGGGCCAGAACAGCGCGAGCAGCGCCGCCAAGACGAGGGTCGTCTCCGAGCGCAGCATCTTCTTCCCCGGCAGGAGGCGGCGAGCGAGTGACTGAGCCGGAGAGGCCGGCCAAGTACAAATAGTGCGGGCTTCCCCTCTCCGGAAGCCGGTCCCGCCTCCTCCCCGCCGCCTGGCTCCGGCCCCAGACAGGAGGAGGCGCCCTTCGCAGCAGCGCCCACGCCCTGCGGCCTTCCGCTCGCCTCGACGGGGGCGTCGAGTAGTAGGGCAGCCCTGGGAGGGCTGGGGCGGATTCTCGGGAAAGGAGCCAGCGACCCCTTTCCCCCCAAACGACAACGACAACGTGGTTTAACATCACCCTGCCTTTCCAGAGGAAGAGGCACCTGTTGGATTTGGTCATTTCCAATAGACATACACGTTAGGAGCGAGCAGCTGCTTTAAAAAGGCCTCAGTGCACCTTCCAATATTTATTTAACTGCTTCCTTTTGTTTCTTGTTCGCTTTTATATAATGTAAGGTAAAGGTAGAGGGACCCTGACCATTAGGTCCAGTCATGGCCGACTCTGGGCTTGCGGCGCTCATCTCGCTTTATTGCCTGAGGGAGCTGGCGTACAGCTTCCAGGTCATGTGGCCAGCATGACTAAGCCACTTCTGGCGAACCAGAGCAGCGCACGGAAACGCCGTTTACCTTCCCGCCAGAGCGGTACCTATTTATCTACTTGCACTTTGATGTGCTTTTGAACTGCTAGGTTGGCAGGAGCAGGGACCTAGCAACGGGAGCTCACCCCGTTGCGGAGATTCGAACTACCAACCTTCTGATCAGCAAGTCCTAGGCTCTGTGGTTTAACCCACAGCGACACCCGCGTCCCTTTTATACAATATATATTACCCCTATTACACTATCAAGAGTCACCCCACTATAGGTTGCATCTGACACGCTCACTTAATTTGTAAATACAGCAAAAGAATAAAATTCATGAGTTTAAATAGTCTCAAGTGTAAAACGGTAGGCACTGGAAGTAGGTTAGGGTAACAGCCTAAACCGATTAGTCCTAATAAAGGTATTAACTTTTGCATTATAGTTTAGTTATTCTGTTTCATTTTGTCTTGATTTTTTTCAATGACTGCAGTTGTAACTTTTTATCAAACTTCACTGAACAACCTTTACAAAGTGGCATTTATATATATATATATATATAAAATGACTTCAGCCTTGAGTAGTTTACATTTTAAATTACAATTCCCATCATTCACAAGCAATGTGTTCTAAATTTACAAAGCACCTGTAGTCACTCTCAAAGTACTATTAATCTGCCTTTAGTGATACGTGTCCCTGCTTGAAAGCATAGCAAGAAAACAATATGGGCACCTGCTGAGTGGTACTGAACAGGATGTTATTGGGACTCCAGCTCCCATCATCCCCAGCCAACAGGGATGATGGGGCCTATAGTCCCAGGATCCCCCCCCCATTGTTTTTATTAAATATTTTCTTGGGTTACAGAAGTACATACTATGTCTCTGGTTTCAGTTCATAGAGTCCTTTATAATGGTAAAGGTAAAGGTACCCCTGCCCGTACGGGCCAGTCTTGACAGACTCTAGGGTTGTGCGCCCATCTCACTCAAGAGGCCGGGGGCCAGCACTGTCCGGAGACACTTCCGGGTCACGTGGCCAGCGTGACATCGCTGCTCTGGCGAGCCAGAGCCACACACGGAAACGCCGTTTACCTTCCCACTAGTAAGCGGTCCCTATTTATCTACTTGCACCCGGGAGTGCTTTCGAACTGCTAGGTTGGCAGGCGCTGGGACCGAATGATGGGAGCGCACCCTGCTGCGGGGATTTGAACCGCCGACCTTTCGATCGGCAAGCCCTAGGCGCTGAGGCTTTTACCCACAGCGTCACCCGCGTCCTGTCAGAGTCCTTTATAGAGATCTGTTATATTCAAAGTGGGGACGCGGGTGGCGCTGTGGGTAAAACCTCAGCGCCTAGGACTTGCCGATCGCATGGTCGGCGGTTCGAATCCCCGCAGCGGGGTGCGCTCCCATCATTCGGTCCCAGCGCCTGCCAACCTAGCAGTTTGAAAGCACCCCGGGTGCAAGTAGATAAATAGGGACCGCTTACCAGCGGGAAGGTAAACGGCGTTCTGTGTGCTGCGCTGGCTCGCCAGATGCAGCTTGTCACGCTGGCCACGTGACCCAGAAGTGTCTGCGGACAGCGCTGGCTCCCGGCCTATAGAGTGAGATGAGCGCACAACCCTAGAGTCTGGTAAGACTGGCCCGTACGGGCAGGGGTACCTTTACCTTTACCTTTATATTCAAAGTGAGACACTAATGTTTTTGACAGTATAAGGTTGGGGGAGAAGAGAGGTGTGTGTGTGTGGGGAGAGATCAGGGTTGGTATTGGTGGGAGAATAGGGCTGCCATCTTTGTTCTGGAAAAATACAAGACAGGTTGGCAGTGGGCAGGCCAGGAGCAAGGGGAAAGAGGGTGTTGGGGTGATTTTCTTTACCACCTGGTGCCAAATGACTTCAGAGTAATCCATTACAATCTAACCAGATGGCCCCCTCTGGAAGTTGTCACACACACACACACACACACACACACACACACTTGTAAAACTAACTGTTCTTTGCAACCCAGAGCTGAAATACCGGTACATGACACACCCTTTCACACACAAGTACTATACTGCCATACATGCCGACTGGGGTAATAATAATAATAATAATAATAATAATAATAATAATATACATATTATAATTATATTATGATGAGGTGATGAGCTTTGTTCCACATGCTAAATTTCTAAAGGGGGTGGGGAATATTAGGGGACAAGGGGAAAGGGCAAGCCCTGTGGGAAGCTACTTCTCCCCCACCCTCCTCTCTCAAATATCATGTAGATAACTCTGTTCAGAACTGGGGCTACACTGGCACAAAACCGCTTGTCTCTAGAGCCTCAGGACCTGTTGCTCTTTGAGGGATGGGTTCCAGGCCAGCACTCCGAGGCTGCAGCTCTGCAGATGGCCACCTTAACCCAGCCAAAGCTTCGGGAAAGTGGAGGCGACAACAATGTCCAAAACGTTTGCCATTCTCCTGCCCTCTCCCATTAAATAAAAATGAAACCCATCTTTTAATTTTTCTGGTAACAATCACTCTGCTAATAATTGCCAACATGTGTCTTTCTACTGTTGTGGAATTAATCTGGACAAAACCCAACATTCTTGTTTTGTTCCCTGGCATTTCGCAACTAGATTTTACGAAACAAGTTGTTTTTTAAAGCATCTTCAACTGTGCACACGATTTTCTTTTTTAAAGACTCATTCAGAATTCCACCCTTTCCCCCAGTCTCAGGATAATTGTTTTTCTTTCCATTTATTACACACCAAGCTTGTCCCCATGCCTGGTAAATGAGGAAGGGCCAAAGCTTTGTGGTAGGGTGGGCATCTGCTTGGCATGTAGAAGGTCTTGGGTTCAAACCCTGGTACCTCCAGTTAAAATGGGAAATCTATATTCAGAGGCAGTTATACCTGTGGATACTGAATCCTAGGAATAAGTAACAGAGTTTGTTTGTCAGCTTCTTGGAGAGCACATGGAAGGCACTTTTGAAAAGAGAATGTTTAATCCGAAGAGTCATGACCGGAAGGAAAATAGCCACTTGCCCTGTTGCTCAAATGCTTGAACAAACAATGATATATTAAGACTTAGTTTCACTTTTCTTGTGCAACACTTGGGTGTGAGTTGCAAAACAGCCCTTCTCTAAGTGGAAGTTTTCGCCCAAGCACAAAAACGTGCCTTTGGATTGATATAGCTGGATGTTGATATAACTGAACCTATTGTCTAATTCGTCAGAGTTTTTCCTCATTGATTTACAATACATCTTGATGGCTGCCAACTAGGCACCACTCTGACACAAGGAATGATGAGCAAGGAAGAAAAGAGCTGATTTTCACAACCTTTTTTCTTTCTTTCTTTAAGTGGGCACATTGCTATATAATTGGGTTTGTGTGTTTGAGAATTTTGGATTTTCCAGGATAGCAGATTTTACTGTCAACTGTAATAGGGAAATATTTATGGATGGACAATTTCCCACAACTTTTACAGCAAAATATGGGTGATGTAAATGTGAATAGCGTGCAGTTGAGGGAACATGAAGAAATATATCATTTGCCTCATAATATAGTTGCAGAAGAATTTTGAAACAAAATAAACTACAGGTCCTGAGAAAATAAATTGTATCTCTCTGCTTTAAAGCTCAAGCAGAAATTTAGCAGAGGAATTACTGTATCTTTATCCTCTTCTTCAATCTGCACTCTCCTACAATGTCCATTTAAGACAGGGGTAGGCAAACTAAGGCCTGGGGGCCCAATCGCCTTCTCAATCCGGCCCACGGACGGTCTGGGAATCAGCGTGTTTTTACATGAGTAGAATGTGTCCTTTTATTTAAAATGCATCTCGGGGGTATTTGTGGGGCATAGGAATTTGTTCATTTTCTTTTTTCAAAATACAGTCTGGCCCCCCACAAGGTCCGAGGGATGGCGGACCGGCCCACAGCTGAAAAAGGTTGCTGACCCCTGATTTAAGAGATACTTTGCCCAGATAGACACACTTAATGGATCAGTTCTGAATGATACATGAATTTATAAATGCTGGGGTCCCTTTTGAAATATGTGTGAGAAGAATCTAGCAAAGGGTTCCTTGTATGGATTAAATGGAAATGAATTTTGAATTGAAAAACTGGGATTTATCCCATGCACCTGCTCTGCATGCAGCAGGGATCAGGGCCAGTCCCCGGGATCTCCAAATTGTACTGGGAATGACCTGTTTGAAATCCTGGAGAAACACTGGTTGGAACAGGCAATGCTAACCTAGATCATGGGTAGGCAAACTAAGGCCTGGGGGCTGGATCCGGCCCAATTGCCTTTTAAATCTGGCCCCCAGATGGTCCGGGAATCAGCGTGTTTTTACATGAGTAGAATGTGTCATTTTATTTAAAATGCATCTCTGGGTTATTTGTAGGGCATAGGAATTCGTTCATTTTCTCTCTCTCCAAAATATAGTCTGGCCCCCCACAAGGTCTGAGGGACGGTGGACCGGCCCCCTGCTGAAAAAGTTTGCTGACCCCTGACCCCTGACTGAGTCCAATGATCTGACTCAGTATAAGGCAGCTTTCTAAGTGCCTGGCCTTTCTAATTGATTCTGTGCAAATGGATTTTGTAATTTGGACCCAGTGTGCATTGCAGCAAAGGCTATGGCATCAAGATGAGAGGCAGGAAATCCAAGTTATAGATT